AAAACACATACAAACTCTGAAGCACTTACAAAAGACAACAGAAGTGCTCCAGGATGCTAGGGGGCAGTGTTGAGCTTTTGTTACCTAGTGGCTACACAAGCCAGCAAGTACCAACGACCGGATTTGGTGTGTGGTAGTAACAGGTAAATGAACTTTTTTAAAATTTATTATTTGACTATATATGAATGCTTGTGTATAAATACATAAACAATACACATATGCTTTCGTGCTTTCAATTGTGTAATTTAACTGATCTAGTAGCTCTGTTTTGGAAGTTCAGTTCATGCTAGAAATGTGTTTTGGAGTTTGTGCATGTTTTGTCTCTAGGGGCCACCGCATATATTTATATATAAACATATATAAATATTATTGTTAATAATAAATTAATTAAAGCAACAAAACAACCTGAAGAGCTGGTTCGGAGCTGAAAGAGCCGGCTCTTTTTAGTGAGTCGAACCGAAACAGCCAGTTCTCTAAAAAGAGCCGGAAATTCCATCACTACAGGCCACAGAGAAACAAACTGGGTGTGCTTAATTTGCTTTGTAGTGCAGACCCAGTTATTCTCAGTGTGATTTCGTCAGTTCAACCGGTTCGACCAGTCTGACCAGTCTGTTTTATTGTTGCAGCATTTCCAAGATGGCCGCCGTGCACAGCAGCACATTGAGAGCTCCTGGAAACAGCTGGAGTCTGTAAGTGACCTTTGCCCCTGCCCACCAACACACTGTCCCCACCCCAAACTCTGTAGAAGCGGAAACTTGTTTGGACTGTTTATTTTTGTTTGTTTGTTGGTTTTTTTTAACTTATTTTTCAGAGTAAGCGGCGGTTCGAACGTGACTGTAAGGAGGCGGAGCGAGCTCAGCACGTCTCCGACAAAATCGACCTGGACAATAAAACGGATGGAGAGAAGGTCAGAACACTAAGCTCTTGTCAGGGGGAGTGTGGGCGAAGCTTGAGCACCCCTGCAGTGATATGATTGGACGTTATTTATCAACTATGACCCAGGGGTTGAATAAAACAGCTGATTGTGGTCCATTTTAATCCCTAACATCATACTTAGTCCTGTCTGTCTGCCTGTGTCTCTCTCTGTCTGTCCGTCCATCACAGCGCTGCTCGCTGAAGGTGCGTTTCTTCCTCACTGATAAGCATATTTTGAGTCGTCTCCCGTTGGCAATCGTCGGTGTGAAAGTTTTCTCTGTTTTCAGGCTCGTCAGACAGCTCAGCAGAAACAACAAGCTGCTGAGGAGTCCAGGAAAGACTACGTGACAAGTTTAAACCAGTTTAACCAGGATCAGCACCAGCACTACCACACACTGGTACCAGTAATTTACCAGGTAGGACTTCCTGTTATGCAGTGATGTCATCAGTGAGTGTGGCGATGTGTACTCAGGCATGTGCCTCTGCCCTGCAGCGTATCCAGGACATGGAGGAGCGGCGGATCGAGAGGATTGGGGAGGCGATGCGTTCGTTGGCCGAGGCTGAGAGAAAAGTTCTTCCTGTTGTGAGCCGCTGTCTGGACGCCATGATGGAAGCTGCTGAAAGCATACAGCCAAGAAAGGTGAGAGTCCCGGGACTTCGCCCACAGAACCAAACACCTGATTTAGATTAGGCTAATTTGCCCTGAAGGTTATTTCCATGTGCACATCTGGATATCTAGTTTTCTCCCTAGAAGTTCCGATGTGACCGTGTTGATGTCCTTGAGTCCATCGACCCTTCAGACTGAATTTGGTTAGATGAGTAAACTCACAAGAAACACGCCAGCGAGCATGGCGGGTGGAAAGGGAATATCTAACGCCACCATCTGGCCAGGTTGTGTGCTGAGTTTGCACGTGTCTCTGGGTTCTCCGACTTCCACTCTGGTTTTGTCTGTTCCAGAAGTCCTGTGCTTTGTTCTGATGCAGCTTTGCAATCCTAACCCAATTCTGCCACGCTCTTCTTAGAGGAGAGGCTTTCTCCTTCCAAACAGCCACACTTGTTCAATCTCAAAAGGTTGATTCTGTCCATCTGGTTCTGTTCAGTGAGAGAAATGTTTCATCATCATCAGGTGACGTCTTCAGTCTCAGCTGACTGCAGGTTTCAACCTTATAAACAGGACATTTGCACAATGACTGACACTAGCAGCACTGAATGAACGATGGGCTGTGAGGTCAGTTTATGATCATTTACCATTCACAGAGAGTTGGGGAATGGCTGCAATCACAGCATTGTAAGATGTACCCTTAGGCCCCCTCCTGGATACAGAGATCAAGGTCAAGGTAACTTTATTTATACCCATAGGCAAGGTAAATTTGCTTTACAGACAAAATGATAGCATTTGGCATCCCTTCAAAAACAAACATACCTAATAAAGATATAAACCTCCCTGTAGCACATATATAGTAATTTAATATTTCGAATCAAAAACAGTTCTTATTTAATTCAGTGACAGCAACGGGGACAAAGCTATTTTTATAACGCTTTGTCCTGCATCTCGGAAATAGAAACCTCCATCCTGAGGAAAGAAGCTGAAATTCACCCCTTAGAGGATGGGAACCATTTTTAAGGATTGATAAAGCCATCCTCTGTACCTGCTTGGAGTACAGGGAGGCTAAACAAGACTGTGGCTCACCTATCAGACGACTGGACCATCTCACTATCTGATTCAGAGTTTTTCTCTGTGACAGAGGTCTGACTGAACCATGCCACCAAACAAAAGGACAAAATAAAAGAACGAAACTGTTCTAAAAGTCTTTTAATTAAAATATGGGTCTGTTTTGTATTAAAAGCCGAAGAAAAGTCAATGAGAAGAAGTCTTGCAAAAGTCCCTTTACTCTGTACATGTTTAAGAATCAGATTTAGTGAAGTCAAAAGTGTGTCCTACACTCCTCTGTTGGGCCTGTATGCAAACTGCATTGGATCCAGCTGACCTTCAGTCTCTTTCATAATCACATTTCTGATGATTTTTTCAAAGAGTTTCATGACAACTGAAGTGAGGGCAACAGGCCTGAAGTCGTTTAGAATTGTTGGACGACTAAATTTAGGGACAGGAACCACGACTGCTTCTTTCCAAAGAGAGGGCACATGTTGTGTTTGCAAGGATTTATTCAAAATAACCTGAAATATAGGACTGAGTTCATCAGCACAAGATTTAATTAGGCGGCCACTAATATTATCAGGACCCTGGCTCTTGTTCACATTGACAGTACGAAAGGCCTTTTTAACATCGCTGAGTTCAATGATAAAGTGCTGAGTATCTCTCAGTTTCTGTTTCAGTTCAAAAATATCCTCGCTAAAATCAGAAGAACTAAAACGAGCATAAAACATGTTTAAAGCATTTGCAAAATCTCTGTCTGAATTAAAACCATCTAAAATGACCTGACTGCTGCTCTGAGGAGTTTGAAACCCTGCTATGGTTTTCATACAAGTCCAGGCAGACCCAAAATTTTTTGCAGCACATTTGCTTTCAAGAAGGTTTTTGTAGCTCTGTTTTGCTTTCAAGAGCTCGATTTTCAGGTCCTTGGTGGCTGTCTGAAAATCGGTAACAGCCCCCTCTTTAAAGGCCTGTCTCTTTTTCCTTAAACAGGATTTGACGCTTTTAGTGACCCACGGCTTATTGTTAGCGTAGACTTTAACGCGCTTACGGGGTATAATCATGTCTTTACAAAATATTGCATAAGAGCTAGTAACATCCACCAAAGCGTCGAGATCATCTCCACAAGACTGAATAAAAACTTCCCAATCTGTAAGCACAGATTCTTCTGACCATAGGTCAACATCCTTAGTCTTTGTCTTCTCTCGTTTTAAGACAGTTTTATAGATGGGCAGGAGATGCACACAGTTATGGTCAGAAGATCCCAGAGGAGGAAGCGGGAGGGATTTATAAGCATTCTTCACCGATCCGTAACAAAGGTCCAACATTTTATCCCGTCTGGTAGGACAGGATACATATTGATGCAGATTGCCCAAAGTTGATTCAAGAGAGACATGGTTAAAGTCCCCCATTATAAAGTTTGGGCGTCAGGAGAGAGCGCCTGCAGCTTCTGCACTACGTCTGAGATGATGCTGCAGGTGGAGGCGGGGTGAGCCCTGAATGTAAGCTATGGTAATAAAAAGTTGTGGAAACTCACGAGGGAGATAAAAAGGGCGCAGTGACACGGATAAAAGTTCAACATCTGGTGTACAAATACACTCTCTAACAGTCACAGCGCTACAGTAACGTTTGTTCACATACAAGCATACTCCCCCTCCTTGAGATTTCCTTGTTACCTGTGCATCCCGATCCCGGCGAAAGGGAGCTCCAAAACCGTCAACTGAAAAATCGGCGTCCTGGTCCAGCTCCGTCGGCCATGTCTCGGAAAAAGCCATCACTCAGCTGTCCCTGAAGTCTTTCTGGAACCTGACGTTTCCCTGGAATTCATCCAGCTTGTTCCTAAGAGACTGAACATTTCCAAGGATAACAGACGGCAGGGGAAACCGACTGACCTGTTGTCTCCTCAGACGCAATTTAACACCTCCACGTCTCCCTCTTTTCCTCTTCATAATCGTTCTGTTAGAGTCTCTATGTATAAAATCCGGCATACATGAGGTGAGGTCCTTACCGTCATACGGTAAGTTAAGTTGTAACAGTTCGTCGCGGGAGCAAACAATCCTCAGCTGACTCACGGCTTCGCCCACATCATCGGAAACAAGCCAGCACAGTAGAAATCCAACCACAATGAAGAAAAAAGAATCCATGACGTTCTCACTGTTGTGGAGCGTCACTTTGTAAGAAAACTGTCACTTCCTTCAACCAAAACACATGCCAGCGATAGAAACAAAAAGAAACGATAAGAACTTAAAAACGTAAAAACTTAGGATGCCAAGCTCTCACTCACTGCCGGTCGCTGCGTGCGCATTAGCCCTGGTCTTTCCCTTTTCACGTAAATGGCCTCCTTGACTCTGCCCTCAAACCAGCGTTCCTCCCTGTCCAGGATGTGTACATCCTCATCCTTGAAAGAGTGTCTACTGGCCTGTAGGTGTAAACAGACTGCAGAGTCCAGGCCTGACGAGGTGGCTCTTCGGTGTTGTGCCATCCTCTCCGCCAGAGGTTGTTTGGTTTCCCCGATGTATAAATCCTGGCAATCCTCCTGCACTTAACAGCGTACACCATGATCCTTGGGGTCGACCAGTTTTTGGCGCAGCGTGTTTTGAGTGTTTAAATCACAGAGACGTCGTGTTTAGAAAAAGTGTGTCTCAGCTGCTCCGATACTCCTGACATGTACGGGATCACTACAGGGTTTTGCTTAGGCAGCGGTCTTTAGGAGCCTTCCCGGCTTTGACAAAAGTCCAGCTTTCTTACTCTGCTGTCATGAACTTTGACCTTTAACCTTCTAACTGAGGTGCGGGAGGGTGTGCATCTGCAGATATGTTTCTAATGAAGGAACTCCAAAATGTGCCTTCATAAACACGCCAATATGGGATGTAAAGGTCAAAGGTTAGCTGATGTTATGTGGTGAATGTCCTTTCAGGACACCCGTCAGGTGGTGGAGGTGTATAAATCAGGATTCGACCCCCCGGGTGATGTTGAATTTGAAGACTACAGCGCCACCATGAGGCGGAGCATCTCTGAATCCAGTTACCTCGACAACCGGACAGAGGAGCGGAGACAAAGCAGAAAGCTGTGGCCCTTCATCCGAAAAACCAAGGTATACGCGCACACACACACACAAGGTGCAGATGAGACACACCTGGAGGAATCACCTGGCTGTACTCAGGTCCTTTTCTCTCCTTTCAGTTGCTGACCCTCCTGTCCTCCCCCCGCCAGCCTCCACCCCCACCCCCAACCTCTCCTTCACCCGGGGGCATGGCCAACAGTCCCCAGTCCCCACCCACAGCCACAGCCACCCGAGAACCAATCACACAGCGGCTGAATGACCTCATGACCTCTGGCTACAGAACCAGGAAGCAGTGTCTGCGCAGCCTCAAGAGAGGGGTACAAGATGTACTGCATACTGTACTACATGAAATACTACGTTATATCTTAAATACTATAACACATATTGGAGTCCAGCTGCTGTGAGGTTTACACCACAAACTAAAGTCATATTTATGTCTCTGTGATGGTTAATCCAGCAGCATGCACTTTAATCTACGTGATATTTTAATGCTACAATATTATAATCATCATCATTATTATGTTTATAATTGATGAAGAAACCAAATGACACTCAGATGTTTATTTGATTGCCAAATAATAATAATGGATTGGATTTATATAGCACTTTTCAAGGCACCCAAAGCGCTTTACAATGCCACTATTCATTCACTCACTGGTGGAGGCAGCTACGGTTGTAGCCACAGCTGCCCTGGGGCAGACTGACAGAAGCCAGGCTGCCATATCGCGCCATCGGCCCCTCTGGCCAACTCCAGTAGACGGTAGGGTAACATGTCTTGCCCAAGGACACAGCGACCAGGACAGAGAGCCCGGGGATCGAACCGGCAACCTTCCGGTTACAGATGCGCTTCCCAACCCCCTGAGCTACGGTCGCCCCTAGCAGCTTTAAAACACTGATTCAATTTCTCTAAAAAAATAAAAAATAGTTTCAAACACATTGATCACAAATTTCTAAATTGTTTGAGTTTTTATGACTAATAATTGTGTTAGGCACTGTCTACTACGTACTGTTTCCTACACTAACTGCTGCAGTGCAAGCTGTTGTGCACGCACACACAGTCGCCTGGCACATTCATGATGACATCTGTTGTCTTTCTTTCTGCTCGCCTCTTTGACCGGACAGCTGTCACTCAAACTGGTCAGTATCTCACCTGTCAGAGACGTCCAGGTGTGTTTGAGCCTTCGACTTACTGATGTTTAACGAGTGTGTTGATGCTGCAGGGCTCGAGTCCTGCCGACTGCAGCCATCTTCCTCCTGAACAGAGACGCAAGAAACTTCAGGGCCGCATCAATAACATCAATCAGGAGATACAGAGAGAGCGCGAGCAGAGGTGACACACACACAGACACGCACACACAGACACACACGACACACACAGACACACACACAGACACGCACACACAGACACACACAGACACGCACACACAGACACACACACACCGACACACACACAGACACACACACAGACACCCACACACATGGACAGACACCGTGCACACACAGACACCCACACACACACACACAGACACCGCGCACACAGACACACACACACACACACACACACAGACACCCACACAGACGGACAGACACTGCACACACACAGACACACACACAGACTCACACTCACACACAGACAGACACGCACACACACACAGACACCGCGCACACAGACACGGACACACACACACACAGACACCGCGCACACACAGACACACACTGATCTGATTCCATTTTCTGTTCAACTCAGTGTTATTTACACAGCACCACATCACAGCAGCACTCTTACAGTACAAGTCACAGTATGAGGTGGTGACTTAGCTAGCGCACAAACGTTATTTGCGTTACCCACGAATAACTTGAAACAACTCTCTTATTCGCTTACCATATAAAACAAGAATTACATTCCAAACTTTACATAAATATATGTAGTGCTTGTATATTGCTATCACCTGAAACACAGCAAAACAGTTCAGTGTTATTGACGGCTTCCATTACAATAACTGGCCTGCGTTACTTTTGTGAGGGATAATTTTGCCAGTCACCCGTTTGAACCGCCACTGCCACTTACTGGCGAACCTAAATATCGCCCCATTTGCTCCCACCTAAACATCACATCAGGTGGGAGCAAATGAGCTTTTCGCTCTGTGCTATGATGCAAACTAGTGTCACAACAAATAGCAAAAAAGATGATATGGGGGGGCGCTGTACATGAACACACAAGGAACGCATCTCAGACTTGTTCTTGATGCTCAAAATACTCGGGGTGCCACACCTCCATATTTTTTAGATCTATAAAAAAAACTTGTGAGACTTTATCAGAGGTGTGAACATCACAGCAGATCTCTTTGTGTCACTGAGGATAAAACAGAAAAACGTGAAGCAGATTTTGCTGGCCTGGCTTTTTATAGCAGATAACCAATATTCTGCAGTAGAACAAAAACAGCAGAAAACCATGAATCAACATGTGAACATGACCTGATGCTGCTGAAGTGAAGCAGAGCAAAGTTACAGAGGTTTGATTACACTGTAAAATGTAATTCTAGATGTTTGTTATTGTAACATATTATTCTATATCAGTTTGATGATAGATGACTGAAGTTGTTGTTATAGCACAAAATTACAAGTTAAAAATGTCCCAATTACACCAAACAAAGCTGACTCGAAAACTCATGTCCAGCTAAATCAGCAACTTATGTGAACTTGACAATATGGGGAAGTTGAGCACAGCAGGATTCAAAACTGCCTCATGTGACTGCTATCGAGGTGCATCATGGGGAATTGGCGGTTAACGACATGCTCACTTTACTTGGACATTTTCTAATCGTCTTCTTTGGAATCTGCTTTCAAGGTGAGTAACATTGGTTATAATTACAAAGAAAGAGAGCTACAAAAGTTGGAACATGTTTTGAATTTATGGCATGACGTGTGTTTTTTTCTTTTACCAAAATCTTTGCTTTAGCTAATATAACTTTAGCCGACAAGGTCCAGCTTGTGTGTCATGACCAAACTTAACCTAATAAACTGAAATACGGCCTTTTTATGGGTTGCACTGACCAAATCAAAAGTATTGTGCCGCTAGCTTTAAGGTTGTACACTCAACCACTGTTGCGATATTAGCAAGCTAACTCAGCTAATTAATATAGCTTATTTCACATTGTCTCTGTACTTGTAAATTTCTTTGAAGTTCACAGGCTGTTGTATTTTGGTGGAAGTTCATTTTGGCAATATTTCCAATAACTGGCTGGGTTCAAAAAGAACTATTTGGCAGGACTCCTGTGCTTGTTGTTATCTGTTTACTCCTATGTAATCACTTATGTTGTTATTTACTGCTGCATGCTAAGCTGTGAAAGTGTATTGAGGACTGAGACAAAATATGATCTACAGACCAGCATTATATTAGTTTTTTATCAGATAGTCCTCCAGTGTGTTTATTTCTTGCAGTAATTATATTGTGCAGTTATTTCTTACCCTGAAATGCTTAATGCTTAACAACAGCTCCATTTTAACTTGTTTTTGAACTCTTGTGATCAGTTTGACCAAATTGTGTGAGTTTCCATACTAAAAGAGTTGTAGTGATAAAATAATTGGCATCAGAGACACTGATTTTTGGAAGTCCCTTGGGTTGTTTCTGATTTTTTGTTTGTTTGCATAATTTAACTTTTAATTTAACTGCATTCCCCGTATTGTAACAAAACTAACATTGTTTATATTGTCAGAAAATTAGCAAACAGCATAAATGGCAACAACAATACAATTATAACATATATTTTTATTTTACTTATTTTAGATCTGTGAAGCCAAACTTGATGCCGGGCATTTGTTCTTGCCAATGGAGTCAAATGGTAAGTTACCTTTTGTGGGGGTTTTTTCATACTGGAAACACCACAGATTATATTGTAATTTAATAGCTCTGTAGAACAAATGATATAACGATTGTAGTGTCAGGGTACTTTATTTTCACAGGTCTAGATGATCACATCTGTTTTTGTCATTTAAATGAGGACTTGCAAACTTTGCACTTTTCTGTGGAAATTGCTGTCCACTTCCCTGCACATACACAGAATGTGGACAGTATTTCAGATCTAAAAAAGCCTTACAGGTTAATTTAAGAGATCATGTGGTCACAGAAGGAGTATGTAATGGACTTGCTGGCTTTAATGTAAAAAGCCTGTTGTGTAACTTTGAGGCAGTATATTGCTCATCAAGGTAAACATCTGAGGAATAAGAAAATTGTTACTTTTAATCAGTGTTCTTTTACATCCCACATTTACTAAAGTTTTACATCACATAAGAGTTGTTTTTACACTCATTCTACTTTAAAATATTTCAAGACAGAGCTTATTGTTCACTGAACGGCAGGTAAAGTGCATCTTTTTGTTTATTTGCTTTTGTGTGTTTGTGTTTTCTCTAATGGGCCTAAGATGATGGTTTGCTTAAATTTGAGTCTCAAAGCATTTAAAAAAAATTCTGCCTATACTCCCCACTAGGGCTGGGCAAAGCGATGATTTTCCTAATTGATGAATCTAGCGATTAATTTTTACATGTATGCTTTTCCTCACCAAATGTGTTATTATGAGATCTGTGACATTGGATTTGGTCTGGGTTTCAGAGAAACTAACTGACAAACTAGCATTTATATTCTTAGTTTCTTGTGTTTATTTATGTCTTCACCAGGGTCTTTGACATTTCGCTGCTGTACTGTTCTGCTTTGTGTTTGATTTCTCACATTGTATATTGTAATGCCAGAGATATTAGGATATTTAAGGGGTTGCAGTGGCTGCTACAGCTGTGGGGGGCAATACTTTGGTGAAATGTCCTGGACCCTGGAAAAGAGACTGTGTAAACTGGGTAAGCAATTAAAGGTTACTGAGAGTCAAAGTCATTGGACAGCTGGGTAAAGGTGGATGCTGATATTCAGTGCCAGTTATGCAACCTGTCCATCCATGTCTATATGCTCTTTTTTCATGCTGTTAATATAAGGGGAAAAAATAAACTCTTACTGATTAAAGAAGCATTGTCTGTGGAGCCACATTCTGATCCTGTAGTTTAGCTCCAGTTTGCACATTTCATGTATTCTCAGTCACATTTGGCTCAGAGCACAGCCAATATTTCGAATAAGTAAATTTAAATTTAAATTTTTGTTTGCATTCTGCAATTGAAGACATGCTCTGTTATTTATGAACATGGTCTTTGTTTAAAGCAAGAAATGGATTTGTAACATGGTGGTGCATATCTCATTCTGAAAATTTTTTAACAACTAATAAGTGTTACCCAAAGCCAATCAGCATCATCCAAAGCATCAGTATGGCTCTTCTTCTATTGTGTATTTGTAATTGTGTATATTATTTTTTTGTCTTTGAACCCTTTCATAGCTGACGGGTATTGAAGACACATTTACTAAGAGGATGAAGGTTGGCATTGTGATGGTGAAAGAAGAAGACATCATCGATGTGTTGGTTGTCCTTGAGGCGGCAGTAATCCTGTCTAATCTGAGGGATGTCTCGAGTGTCATTTCCATGCCGATGGGCCTTCTTTTTGCCCTCAACATAGACTATCCAAAGGAACTTAAGGACACCTTTGAAGTCATTCAGAACATCCTATTGAACATTGGTGGAAGGCAGTGCTCCTCACTTGTGCATGGTCTAAGAAACAGACTCTTGCGGAAAGCCATGCAGAACTGTAATTGTATGCTCACAGCATACAATTGCGTTAGTGTTAAGGACAGTTTTTATTTTACTGTTTGTTTTTTTATACTTGCAAGCTCCCATTTTCACTTTTGTATATCAATAAATGACCAGACTTTGCATTCCAGATTAGACAATCACTCCATTGTTCATGGTTTAAGAAACTTATGTGAACAACAATACAATGGTGGACTCTGCACATGCTTATCTCATGCAAGTCAGTAGTTTTTCCTTTGTTTTGCAATTGAGCAGACTCAAACGATGTTTCTGAAATATTCATATTATCAAATGTTTCAGAAGCATGTACTCATTTTCAGAGCAATTGGTTCTGTGGAATTTGTTGCAGTTGTAAATGAAGACAAATACAAGAGTTTGATGTCTTAGTTGTTATAAACTGATCTTTACTGTCACTTAACAGTAAAGGTTTTGTACTATTTTAATATTTCATGTTTTATGCTAACAGGTGTGCCTGAGCACAATGAAGTTTAAACATTTTGCAAATGTAAAGAATAATTTTTCTAATATAGCAAGTGTCCCGTTGATACATTACAATAATGCAGACTTTATGTTGTTAATTTTAACAGTTTTTATCTCATCCTGTTGAAAGTCTGATGAGTTCATGCCATGGTGAGGATTCTGTTGACCAGCTGTCCACAATTCACAAGAATCGCTACTGCTTCTAGAGTATTGGTCTGATTTTTCTGTTTCTCAGATGACTAAGATGGCACAATAAATGTTGAATGTTGCGTGCTCATGAGTAATTGTCTTGTCATGTTCTTAGAACAAACTTTCTGCATGAATTGATCAGATACACTTTAATGGAATCTGTGGGTTTTAATTTTTTTCTGTAAACAGAAAATTAATTTAAAGGATAGATATTTAAACCTGAGATCTAAGATAAACCTAAGAGATAGTTTTTAATTGTTCAGTAGTGCAATTAATCATTAATGTGATCTGAAATTGATTACAGCCCCTCTACTGTTTGCCAGCGCAGGTTTTGTAGAGCAAACTTTCTAGTGCTCACACTTTTGCTGCTTCAGTGTCAGACGTTTAAATCAGGAACACAGATCGAAATAATCCGCTGTGACCAGAAACAGAACTGAGCTGGACAGGATGACCTGGAAATGACCAGAGCTGAACTGGATCCAGCCCGATCCCATGTGAATCCATGATCCTGTTATGTTTTGTATCTGTCCCAATCTTTAACTGGACTCTGATCTGGTTCATGGCAGCCTATGATTGGGTGGATCCGATTCAGTGAGCAGGTCAAGTTCACAGAGTCTGTTACAATGGTAACTGATGGTAAGTTAACGCTCTCTTTGGAGTTTGATATCACAGTTTCAACTGAACCTGTTCCCTGGATCAGCGAACCTCAGCAGAGTTTCATGTTTTTAGTGGCGCCAGAGGTGGAGCTAGCTCAAAGGAAGAACTGGGTCTGGAGCTGATCCAAAGTGCTGTCTCATTAGTGAGACGGGTGTTGGTCCTGGTGGGGGACTGTGCGTGTGTGTGCATGTGTGTTAATGGTTCTGTGTCATTTCAGGGACGCTTTGTTGAAGATGAGGGAGGTTTATGAACGAAGTCCTCAGATGGGCGATGCCAGCAGTTTGGAGCCTCGACTGGATGAAGTGAAGCAGAACCTGCAAAGGCTGGAGGAGGAGCTGAGGAGGAACCAGGTCTCTGTAAACACATAGCACGTACACACATTATTTTATGACTTAGAAATTGGATTAGTGGGTGAAGAACCTATCGATAGGAAGCTCACTAAGCCAGAGGAGGATGTGCTAGTTAAAAGGTTCAGTTTTGCCACGACAGCAACAGAAACAGCAATAAGCATTACAAAAGTAACACAACCTGAAGCAGAGCAAATCAGGATGTGGGTTTCAGGGGCCTTCTCCAGTGCGAAATACCTCTTTCCAAAATCAGGCTGTGGCGGGCAGCAGCAAGGGAGGGGGACGCACCTGAGCAATCACGCCTCGCCGGCTTAAAGTCTGAACTGGGTCCTGTCGGTCTGTTGTTGTTAGTGTGTGTGACGGGAAAGCTTCGGCCGGTATTACTGAAGATGCTGAAAAGCGTGAAACTGTGAATATTTCACAGTGGTGCTAGAACCTGGGATGGGGGCTTGGCAGACGCGGTACCGGGCGGAGGAGCTGGGCCAAATGGTGGCTGAAATGGCGGCCACATGGAGGGAGCTGGTGGCAGCGTCTCGTGCATGGGTCCTGGCCACCGCCACCACCCACCACCACCACCCTCGACCGCGTGGGAGTGGCTGACGTCCAGGCAGCTCCAGCACCCGTACCAGCCCCCAGGATGAGACCACGCCCTGCCACACAGGCCATCACGTCCGACAAGGGGAGTCGCACCGGAGGAGGGAAAGCAAAGGAACACAGATTTGTAAAGGAAGCTCTAAAACATTCCAGCTGGGCCTTTATCAAATCAGTGATGATGGGACACTCTTTGGGGATGTTACTGATTTTGGGAAGAGAAGACTGATGGTTTGAAAAAAGAATAAAACACGCCGTCAACAGTGAATCCAAAACATTGTTCCACTTGCTCTAGGCTTAGTCCTGTAGGTTGGTCCTTGTGACGTCAGTGCTCTATTTCACATCATATGATGATCAATATTTGAAGAAGAAGCAACTCAAAAGGGGACCTGGGAGGAAGAAGATGAAGAACCCACCTTGATGATCTTCACAAACTTAAAGAATCAGAATTAGAATCAGAATACTTTATTGATTCCTAGGGGAAATGATTTTGGTTACAGTGCTCCAGTTTAACAGTAACAAAGACAGACACTACACTAAGTAAGAAATAGACACAATATATACAATGTATATACATGCATGTGTGTGTGTGTGTATATATATATATATATATAT